ATTATAAGGCGCACTGGATTATAAGGCGCACTGTCGGCTTTTGAAGAAATTGAAGGTTTTTAGGTGCGTCTTATAGTGCGGAAAATACGGTAAGCTGTATTTTAAAAAAATGTGTAACCAAACTATTTAAACAATGATTTTTGCAGAAATGCTAAAAGATATCGAAAAGTGTATTGATTTGGTAAAAGCCATGTGACCTCTTTAAAATTGGTTTCTAGCCAAAGGAAGTTGTTAGTCTTCAAAATGCACCATACTCTTTCAAGAAAATTTTTAGAAAAAGTTAAATATATTAAGACGTGTGAAAGTTATAGAGCTGCAGGGTGACACGGGTTAACACTGTTGACCTATCTCAAAGCGGTTCTGTCCTGTTGTTCCTCTGTGTTGCCTGGTGATAAATTGCCAGGTTGTACCCCACTGCAGAGAGGCACCAGCCCTCATGGCCTAATAAAGATTTAAACAATGGATGGATGGGTGTATAAAAGTAATATAAAGCGGAGTTCATGTTGAGAAAGAGCTGAATGTTTTGGTATTTCCGTGGTTGAAACGGCACAGAAATTGAAGACTGTTGAGGGAGTCGCAGCATAGCATAACCTGATATTAGATAATGTTATGATAGGGTTACTGCTGCAATATTTGAATGTCAGTTGCATTGAATCTATGTCAATGGCTTTTGTGTGTGGGCAATGAAAATGTGCAAGAGTATTTGTGCTTATAAAAACACCAACAGACTATTAAAGAAAAAGAAAACCTATGCAAATACCAGGAGGGATGTAAACACTTAAGTTTGTTGGGAAGAGAGAAAGAACCTGTGATAACGCTCCTTCCTCCTAAAGAGGTACTTTAAGATCTGAATGCCCCTTTTGTCAAATTTTGCTTATGTTCATAATTGCCATCTTTAAATATAGCAAAACTGCTTTTCATCAAAGCACACTAGTCCGGTAACCTTGGTTCAATTGGGGGCCAAAATTGCAACATCTCTTACATCTCCAGCTGGTGCGGTTCACTTTCACACTACACCATGTCAATCAAATCAAACCCTTTGAAAGCCCTGTTCCCCTCCTCAGCTTTGGTGGCGCTGCACCAAGAACCACTGAAGGAAACGACACAAAAACCTCAGAAGAAGAAACTTAGTGCAACATCCTTCTTCACAAAAAGTAAACAAAATTGAGTAGCATCATAGTTGTAGGATTTCTCTTTCGTCTTTGGCAAAAGACTAAGCCATTTCTCCTGAGCTAGACACATGCATTTGTTTTGTTTCTATTTACCCAGAATGCCCTGTGGTATAGTTCACTTCCTGCTTTTGGACTGGTCTCCATCCACCTGCATTCAAACAGCACCAGTGTTCACTTCCACCGAACCAAAAGCTAGGTTTTTAGGTGGACTAGGGTTCACATCAGAGTTCGATTGCACATTCCCATCTCCTCAAACGAATCTCACTCTCAAGGCAAGCGAAAGTCTGGTGTAAACAGGGCTGATGTGAATGCATCCATAGAGGCAACTTGTGTTAGTTACATTTAGTCTCTCTCACTCTAGTGATTGTAAATACTTTGTTATGAGCAAAGTCTAAAATTAGAGCTCCTCTCTGACCAATCTCCATCAACATCAGTAGTTTCCACGGCGCATTGTCCTCTGTTCTCGGCTGTTCTGTATGAATATACAAATCCTCACTCTAAATCTCACACGTTCTCCCGCTTCTTGCCATCCCCCCGCACACCGCCCGCTCCTACCTCACCCCCCCCCACCAAACCCCATGCTGAAGCAATTATGTCCAGTGTGTGAGTCTTCACAAGCAGTGTGAGGGTGATTGATGATGCTGTCAGCGCAGGGAACATGTTTTAACGTCAGAATAATCTGCCTGCTAATATATTACATCCACTGGATAGGGTTCAATCATTACTAATAGCACTGCTAAGTTGGTGAGAGGGGGAGCACGTGCCTCAGAGGGTGTGTGCGCGCAAGTTTGCGTGCGTCTCATTAATCAGAGAAGAAGTGTAGGCAGAGAAATCTGGTAAGGCAAACTAATAAACAAGTAAGGAAGGGAGAAAGGTGTTTACCTCTTACATAATTACCCCCCTCGTATCCTACAGTCGGCGAATCAGCCGAGACGCCGCCATTGTGAGCGCGAGAGTCTTACCACCTCTCGGTATAATATCGTCTTATGATATGAAAGGGCCGGGGAAGAATGGAAGCACAATGGCATCAGACGCCTGAGAAAGAAGCAGCCTTTTGGTCTAATCCGCACTGTCTAATCTCTCAAATTGCTGTGACGTTTGATGAAGGGGATCCAGTCGGGAGTGAGGAGAGAAACAGCCCCGGTTCCACTGATTTCTTCTTTTTTCCCCGTCTGTCTTATCCTTTCTTTTTTTAGTTCTTTGCTGATGTGTAGAGCAAAGATCCAGCTGTGCGCTCCCCTCCTCTCAACTCCTGAACAAATCCTTCTTTAAATACAAGCTTGCGTTGTTTACAGCAGCTCCCTGCCTCCAGACACCATCCGTTCGGTTGACATTGCCCTCTTATCTGCCATGAGTCCCTCCCTCCCCCTTGCTTTCTATTACCACAGTCAGGTAAAATATGCATGTAGCCGGACTTGTATGTACACAAGCATGTATATTTGAAAGAAGGAAAGGAAAGGGAATAAACAATGTGTGTGTGAGTGTGCATAGGGGGGAAATCTCTAGGGATAGGTGGTATATTCTGCTGGTGTCAGCTGGCTCCTGGCCTGCAGATTAATATATATATGTGTGTGTGTGTGTACATGCAAACAAAAGGCACCCCTCACAAAACACCCCATAAACAGATTAGCTCATCTGCAGAGAAACAAAGGGTTAAGAGAGATTGGAAATTTCACAGAGAAGGGGTGGGTGTACGTTTGGGTTGTGTTTGTGTGCCGCGCGGAGGGTGAGTGGGGGCCAGCGTGGCGGTGGAGCGTTGTGATCCTTCTCCCTAATACTGTGTGGAGAATCTCCTCGCCGGGCTCAGCTGCCAATTCTCTGCACTGTAACAGTCCCATTCTCATCCTCAGCCCCCGTGAAACAATGCAGCCATGCTTTTCTGAGCATCTCTCCACACAAAGAGCCGAGGCGCTGAGACAGACGCTCTGAGTGAACTGAGACACAGCGCCGGGACAATAGACTGAGAATGGTTTTGTTTGCCATTGTGTTGCGTGTTTGTGAGGACAAACAATAATAAATATATATATAAAAAACACAACAGTTCTGAGGGATGAGCGACTTTTCGTGCTCCATTGTTGAAACTTTAAGAGGATGTGGAGTTTACAGAAGACAGAGTTAGTTTTGTTGGTCACATCTGGACCAAAAATGGATCCTAAGCTCTATTTTTTTTTTTTTTTTACATGATTTATTCTCTAGGTGGCATCAATAGAGACCAAGGACTGTGGGAAGTTGAATGGTCACAAACAAATATAATAATGTATCCAACTGGTAGTTGTACTGTCTACTGGTGGCAATGAACGCTGAGACAATCTACCCCACCGGACCGCCTCGCTGGAACCCCGAGCCAATCACGACATCCGAAACAAGCCCTTTATCTACAGGGGCTTATTAAGCTAATTGAATTAGCATGTTGTGATTTCTGAACCCAAATACGATTAGCCTGTTATTACCGTGTTATCAGGGTCCCTTGTTACAGTAACAGCAGGTTGCTTTTGGCTGTTGCCTGGGCTCCATTTCTCTCGCTCATCTCTGTGGGGTCTTTGACATATTTATAAACTCACTCCTGATTTATTAGCTATCTGGTGCATTTAGAAATAAGCCTATGATGTGACCTTAGTGAGGGAAAGTGTGTGGCAAACAAACCTATTCATATTTTGTCAAGTTACAACCACAAACTTTAATGTGCATTATTAGAGTTGCTTATGACAGAGCTGCATCAAGTAGACATAATTTTGAATTGATAGATGATGCTGCATGGCTTACAATAGCGTTTTGCCAAAAGCAAAAACCTTAAGTGTGGCAAGCATTTGTATTTGACCCTGCAGTCGGTACTTTTCAAAACCACTTTTTGTTGCATTTAAAGCTGCAAATCTTTTCAGCGTATGTGTAAAAGCCCTCAAAAAATTCAATAAATGAGCCTCAAACACATTCTTTCCTCTGCCACATGTTCTGATTGAGTTATTGTAATTTACATACATTCACAACGATGAAGCTTAAAACAACAGTATGGTTTTCTTACAAAACCATCATGGCACAAATATGACAGCAACAGATACAAATTAAACAAATTTACTGCAAGTCTTCTATATTTTTCATTAATTAATTTCAGAACATAAATGCAACATTTCCAGTCTCATGTATAAAAGGCTGTCTACAGCTGGAATACACATAATGCTACATTCACACATTGGTTAGCATCGTTTGCAGTGAGCTATCGGCTAACTGTGGCTAACAACAAAGTATGTATATAGTCTGTAACAAAGCGAATTCACCAGCTTTTTAAGAATTAGTAAACCAACTTACAACAGTACAGGTACTTTCATGTGTAAACCCTTACCTGAAAAGGGAAATAATTTGATAAATGAGCCACAGAGACGCTCTTTCCTCCGCTACAGCGTGTATCGAAGAAGTTCCGTGTTCTTTACTGTGGCTCACTACCGCTAGACTCCCCCAGCTGGTCGACTTTGGTTATTACATCAAAGTCAACAAACTGTTGGCAGGTTCAGCATTTAAAGCTGAACTGGGAAGCTGTTTTCTGAAAGAGTGCTGACAACGTCAGTGTGACTGAGCAAAAGACTGTCAACACTTCGGCAGATCAGGTATTTTCTGTGCAAAAGAAGCAACCTTTCAATTTTTTCCCCTGCGTTTTCCCCACAAACTTTTTTGTTCCTTGCTCGTCACGGCATGGCTTATTGAATTGTCACATGGCTGTGGACATGGTAAAGGCAGCAACTCTGAAACTTTCCCTTTAGAGTTCTGTGATGCGCATCATGAAGCAAGGTGTGGTTTTGCCTCAGATGCAGAGATGAAAAGGTGGAGCTGTGCTTTGGTTACACCAGTGGCTGAGACTGATTAGAGTAGCTGCAGGGCATTATTAGTCAGTCTCCTTCTACTTAGCAGGACCACGCTGAAGCCCCAGACAGTGAGAGCAAAACAAGGCGATGATGGCTGCCAGTTGGCCTCTTTTGTTTCCCCAAAAAATACATTTTTTGTTAACTGTTGATATTTTTCCCCAGCAGGTATCAGAACATACATTGGTGTTTTGGGAATTAGATAAAATAATGGCAAAGCATGCCACTGTTGCATACTGTTAAAAAAAAACTATAAAAATGGCAAACAGTGTACTATGTCCTTTTAAAAAAAAAAAAGTTAAGGCACAGAGTAATGGAGGACCAACTTCCACATCCTCCCTTCCCACACACTTGGGGTGCATTCTTTATTTTCTGGGCTATGCCAACAGAAAGCAGTGCATAATTGCGAGATAGTGGAAAGAGGATAAATAGCTAAACTTTTCAATAAAGTGGAGTTTTTTTGGATTCAGTTGTGTGCAATCAGTCTCATTTGAAACATACACAAGTCAAGAGAATAAGTCTCTGTCCTTACATTTATGTATAAATAACTCAACATGGCCATTTTAATAGAATTTTTAAAGAACCCAATAACATGAGGGAAAAAACTTGTTGGAACTTTTCAAAGCTAAAAACCCAAGAAACGAATCTGATAACCCATAAGCTAAGGAAACGTCAAGTGTTGGCCTTGCAATAATTGCCTTGGCCATGTTAAATTAAAAGGGCATTCTACCTGCAAATTCAAAGATGTCTACATTAGTACCAACATCCCATCCTCTGAAAGGATGTTTAATAATTAGACCAGTCCAATTGAAAGTTAAGAGTTAGCTCATTTATAGGTATTCCAAGTCATTAAACTTAATTTTAATGGCTAGTTTTAGAGAACAAGTTACTTTTAGATTTTAAAGGAAATTCCTTTTCAAGAACCACACAAAATGACTTTGTACTTTAGTTTTGAAGACTTTATTGAATAATTTAAGTCTGCCAGGACCAGTCATCTGAAAAGAAACAAGGGTTAAGCCAAACAGTTTGCCATCTGCAATTGGGACTTGTGATCCATCTTTACCAGTTGCAGAATCACGACCTCATCTGGTTAGACCTTCTGCTGGCCAGTTCCAGGATTCTGGGGCATTTGTGGAGCATCAGAGCCATGTTCGTTCTGATAGTGGCTGGTCTGTAGTAGTCTGTGCCCTTCTCAAGGTTTCTGCTGAAGGTTGTGTAGGTGCCAGGAGGGTACAGACCATACAGGAGCCTGTAGTCAAAGTAAGGGTAGGGATAAGAGTATGGATGGGGGTAGGGTGAAGAGTAACCCCACAAGCCACCCACACCAAGACTTGGTGTTGCGACAAGTGGAAGACTTTGGCCAGGCCCCATATGGCCAGCTGGATAACCAAACTCCGCCATCTGCTGCTGGTAGCTCCCGAGTTCAGCTTCCTTCACAACATTGGATGTTTCTCCAGATTGAAGGGTCATTAAAGGGGGTCCTGGTGGTGGATGAGGAGGCAGAAGGGCACTGGAACCCTGGGGTTGTGCATTTGATGCTTGAGGAGCAATTGTCCACCTTGCTTCTGAATGTTGTGGAAATATGAAGCAGGTCACATTCAATTCAGCCACAGATTAGTTGAACCAAGTTTGAGACTTGTTACCTGGGAGGGAAGCCTGACCAGCTGCAGCCTGTGTAGAGCCGGCAGCAGAACCTGGTATGTAGGAAGCACCACTATAGTAGCCTGCTGGAATAGAACCTGCAGCATATCCAGCAGCAGGCATAGTGCTCACACCGACAAACACAGGCCGCACAGACTGAGGCTGCTGCATGGAAACACCTGCAGGGTCACTGGAGCCAGAACCTGCTCTGCGAGAAGCAACATTCCCCTCTGCAGTGGTGCCACCGCTCCTCTTGTGTGGAGATTGCAAACCTGGGCCCAAGAGACATTTTACAGTTAGATTTAGTCACTTTGAGCAAAGGAAAATCTGTATTAAATACCTTTCACAGAGAATCCACGAACATCCAGAATCAGCCAGAGAAAGAGGGACACCCTGGAAACACAAGAAAATGTCACCAATCCAGATTTAAAAAGCCAACATGGAGCTGGAGAAACATAAGCACACGGCATACCCCAGGAGGACTTGAGAAGTCATCATGGTGAAGAGCAGCAGTGAAACTGTGACAGCATGAGGGTTTAAATCTGTCAGCAGGAGCCAGCCCTGACCAATCAGTCTAATGAGCTAACGACACACAGCTGGTGAAGAATCACTTCAACAAAAGAAGATGAAACATTAGAGTTTAGCTTTCACAGTTTACCTCTAACTGTGCACTGCAGTACTTTGAACTTAGAGAAGTGTGACGTGTAAGTTTTGTGTTAACAGTTTGTGGTGCTGCTCTCTTGTTTCTTGGTCCGCTGTGACTTTCTGGACATGTTTGATGATTTTCCACTTCCATGTTGGAATTGTGCTGCACAAAAATGCCAGACAGACATTATCAGCTTAATTTGATGTTGTGTAATGAAAACTTTAAAATATTCCAACATCTTGACCAACTTACTTCTCCTCCAAACTTGCACATATAAATACAGATGTTCTCAACATGTGTTGTGGGAATTTTTCTTCCAAATTTTGATACCATTAATTTTTAGTGCATATAGAGATATCACATTCAAAAGTTATTTTTTGGCAAGCTGAAAAGCACAGCTGTATTAACTACATTTGGAGCACTTGGCCATGTTTCAAGGTGACATAAAGGTCAGTATCAACATTTTCTTCCTGCCATTTAAAACAGAAACATAAAGAATAATTACCATTTTAATTGATTGAAGTGTACAGCTTCAAAATTACACATTTTGTCATTAGAATCTTCACAGTTTTATTGTTGAAATAAACAGAAGGATTACTTTTGAAGACAAGATTTCCTTGCCACACTTAAAATCCAAAATAAAGAATAGAAAACCAGGTAAACTCTGAAAAAACAGGAAGAAGGACCTAAAAATTAAGGAGTTGCAGTAGCAGAACACTTTTAGAAAGTCTTGATGGACAGAGATTATGCATAAAGTCGTATGAAACACATGAAAGTTGCTATAAATGTATAGTTTATGGATTGAAGAGAAACGGAGCGCTCCTTGTTCACCAGCTGGCCAAAGAGTGACCGGCTTAAAATGGAGACGCTAGCATTTGGGCCGAGTGGGTGGACGGCGGTACCTCAGTGCACGGATGAAGAGGAGTCTATGTAGCTTCCACATGCGTGCGGCGCGGTCATACGGCGCTCTGAACCCTCCTCCTCCCACACTTTGCAGAAGCGGAGGCCTCTGAGAGAGCAGCTTGGGAAGTCAGATGGTCTCCCTGAGCCTGTGATTAATATACTGGAGCTGCTCTCTACCACCTCCACACCACACTGTCCTCACCTCCAATTAGCATGCTAATGAACCTGCATATGTGTGACCATGTGCATAGAAATGTGTGTCTGGGTGTGTGTGCGTGTGTTGTTTCACCTGAGGGCTATATCCAACTGTGCAGCATAAACAGAAATAGGCTGGCATTCAAAAAAGAAAAAAAAAATACCAGGCTGTTGCTTGGCGAACAGAGCTGTGTGTGCGTGTGTGCGTGTGTGTGAGAGAGAGAGTAGAGCTTGCTACTGGTATTATAATACAGGGAACATGAATGTTTTCTCTTGGCATAATCACCACAATGACTGTTTGTATGTGGACATGGGTCGCCACATATTGGGTGAAACGTGTCCTCAGTGTTTACTATAAACAAGGGCAGATACAAATATGCTGAGAACAAATTAAGTGAAATAATTTTACACGCATTCTTAAAGCTACAGCCCTGTTTATTTTGTCAAGAAAGTTCGGTTTATTTGGAGGCGTGGCTGAGTAATTGAATTCTGATGCGGAACCGCCTGTTTCGGTTCGGCTGACGTGAACTCTGGAGAGGTTCGAATGCAAGCGGATGGGAGAGACCGCCCCAAAAGCAGGAAGTGGACTACAACGCAGGGCATTGTGGGTAAATACAACCAAAACAAACACATGTGTAGCGCGAGCGGGAGAAATGGCTCGAGGTCCTTTGCCAAAGACCTAAAAGAAATCCTACAGCGGCTAAAATCTGACGCTCCTCAATTTTTACTTACATTTTGTGAAGAAGGAAGTTGCGCTCATGTCTTCTTCTGAGGCTTTTGTGTCGTTTCCTTCATTTATTCTTGGTGCAGCGCCACCACAGGTAAGGAGAGGGAAAACAGGTTTTTCGGATCGTCTTCTTCTGAAGTTTTTATGTCGTTTCCTTATGTAGTAATTTGGTGGCTCCTTAACAGGTTTATTTTTTCAGAAGTTTGATTGATAGGTGCTACATGTATATAATTGAGCTGCAACTAGCTAGGGACTTTTAGCCAAAGAAAATATCATATTTTAAAATTTATTTGCGTTATCATCAGTCTAGCAGTTCAAATGCAGGGTAAAAGGCTCAAAAATAAATATGACATTGTGGCTATGATGCTGCTTGAATCACTATCACTGTGTGACTAAGCATCATGATGAGTAATACCTTTTTAATAGCCTGGATGAATCCACTGAGTACATTAATTTTCCATACTTTTCGATATTTTCCACTCTGAAAATGTTTTTTTTTTTTTTTTACATACTCAAAGTGGGTAAAAACAAGCTCTTCTCACATCAAAACAACCAAACCGAGGTTGATTTGATTCGTCTTTTATTACATGACAAAAGCTTAAATCTCAGGGGGAACAATTAGAACAAGCAGTTTGAGCTACGATACACTAAACAAACACAATTAATTAAACAAGCACACCTTTTTATATATATGTATATGTATTTCCTCCTCAGGATCTTAATTATTAGTTAAAACAACAAACTTCGCTTGCAATCTCACAAAGCCCCTGAATTCACTAATCAGGACCAAAATAAAAGAAAGAGCACATGAAAGAGA